CTCCCTCCTGTAATTCTATTATTTTATTGTTAAAGTTTTAGTTTTGATAATCTGTTTGTTGATTCTCACATTATTCATTTCTTTTTCTGAGTTTTCTTTGTGTTGTTTCCATTCTTCAGCTTTCTTAATCATGGCCCTCTTTAATTCCAAATGCTATAGGAAAAGAAGTTCTTCCATGTCTTTGTAGTTTGTTTCTGGGGTTATATTTTCTCTCTCTGGTGCACTGTTCCCCTGAAGGCTTGGTGGGTAATTTGTATTTTCTTTTTCCTTGTTGTTTACTTTGGATTTGCTCTACTATAGTTGGGCTTTGTTAGGAGGCGCTGGTGGCTTAGCAGTGAGTGGTGTACTTTTAGCGTGTGGCTGGGACCTGTGGTGAAAAGGTAGGCCCCGGGTAATGCCCAGGCTTGGGCTTGTTATAAGCTCCAAAGGCTGCTGAGCACTAAATCGCATACATTCCTTTGAAATAATGTTTTTATATTCCTTTGGGTAGATGGCTATGAGTAGATCATGTGGTAGATATATTTTAATATTTGAATTAAACTTTGTATTGTTTTCTGTAGAGGCTGCTCAAGTCTACATACCCACCAACATTATTCTAGGGTTCCTTTTTCTCCTTACCTGCACCAGAACTGTTGTTTCTGGTCTTATTGATATGGGCTATTCTTGTAGATATAAGGTGATGTCTCTGTGGTTTTGATTTACATTTTCCTGATGATAGGTGATTAAGAGCAATTTTTTCAAGTGCCTCTATCTTGGTCATCTGTATCTCTTTGTTTAGAGAAGTGTCTGTTTATCTCTTTTGTCCATTGTTAGAGTGGGTTAATTGTTTGCTTTTGGTATCAGAGTAATGTTAGCCTCAAAATATTTGTAGAAGCTTTCCTTCAGTTATTTTTGGAAGATAATGAGGATAAATATTCATCTCTGAAGGTTCGGTTGAATTCACTTGTGAAACCATCAGGTCCTGGACTTTTATATTTTGGGGAGACTTTTGGTTAATGTTTTTATTTACTTGCTTGTAATTTAATTGGTCTGTTCAAGTTTTTTATTTTTTTCTGATTCAGTTTTTTATTTTGTAAGCTGTATGATTCCAAGAATTTGTCCACTTCTAATAGATTGTTCAATTTATCTGTATAAAGATGTTCATCATAGTAGTCTTATGATCCTCTGTATTTCTGTGACATCTTCTGTAAGTGCTTTTTCATTTCTGATTTTGTTTATTAGAGTTTTCTCTCATTTTTCTTCATTAGCCTTGCTAGAGATTTTTTTATTTTGTTGATTTTTTCATAGACTAGGTTTGGTTTCATTGATCTTTTGAACTGCCTTTTAGACTTCTAATTCATTTATTTCTGTTCTAAAATTTTTATTTCCTTCCTTCTACTGGCCTTTGGTTTTGTTTGTTTCTCTTCTAGTTCTGTAAGATATAATTTGAGGTTTTTTTATTTGAGCACTTCCTTGTTTCCTGATATGGACCTGTAGTGCTGAATACTTCCTTCTTAGTAACACTTTTCCTTTGCTAGGTTGCATCTTCATTTTCATTATCTCCAGCTACTTTTTAACTTCTCCTTTGATTTTATCATTAACATCCATAGCATGTGTTTTAGTATCCACATATTTAAGTTTTTTCATGCTTTCTTTTTTTTTTTTTTTTTTTTGAGACTTTAATGGGAAGGAACTTTAATACAATTAGGAAACAATACTGGAAAGGCAAAGAATCTAGTTTCTAAATCAAGCACCCAAAGTTACCCATCCCCTCGTGGGTAAAAGTCCACCCAAGCAGGATTGGCCCAGAGCAAGGCCCCAAAGTGTGGCACAAGTCTAAAGCACCTTCCAGTGGAGACCCACAGAAAAGGATTAGAAACAACCAGACAAGTATGGAAGGAAAAAAGCAAAATCAAAATCAAGCCAAAAACCACCACTGTTACCTCCGAATGGGTCTCTCACCCACATCTGTGTCACCCAGTCCACGACCAAAAGGCAATCGCAGTTTCTTCACGTGTCTCTCGACTCCATGTGCCTCCTCCAAGTCTCCTTCTGGCTCTCTACCCTGCTTCCTTCCTTCCTCAGTCTCCTCTACAGCTTCTCTCCCTGCTCAACTCCAACCTTCCTTGGATGGGACAGGAAACCTGGAACCTCCCCCTTTCCTGGGGACCACCCTGTTACAATTGTCCCTTTTAATTTTTGTTCCACCATATCTATGGTGGCACAGATCTCAGGGTGTAGTCTTCGGAGACAGTCTTTTTTTAGGGTTACAGTGTATGTAAGGGAAGCAACAGTTAGCAGCAGCATTGTCCGTGAATGTCCAGTATGACAGTTCTCTACTACTGGAAAATAGTCCATTATCCAAGCCAAAAAAAAAAAAAATCTGGAGGCATTAGCCAAAACAAGACAGCAAATATATCAAAATCACAGGGGAAAAAAATCTTTAAATTGGTTCAACTTATGTAAAAAACAAGTTCTCTCAACCTTGATCCCAGATTGTTAACAGCATAGCAAAAGTTTGCAAACTAAATCTACGTTTAAACCATTACCCATTTTTGCATAAAATCACAGGGCAGAATAACCAAACAGCAATTTTAGCTAGCTTTGTTGGAATACTCTATATAGGATCGGAGCAAATTCTTGACATCCGGTCCATGTAGGCTTGAAGAACAAAGTTGGCCTCACCAGAATCCACCTGGGCGTCCTCTTCTCCAGGGTACCAGGGCTATTTCATTTTCTGGGTTGTCCAGTCCTGCCAATGGAGGCGAGCTTCCTAACCTTCTTTGGAGGTTTCTGGAACCCTGCAAACAATGCAGCAGGTTCTCTTCTTGGTTCAGCTCTATTTAAACTTTCTGGAAGAAATCCATTGAAAGCCACACAATGAAACTCGTCTCTAATTGTTTTTGTTTTAAGCAGACAAAATCCCCACATCTGTGTCACCCAGTCCACGACCAAAAGGCAAGCGCAGTTTCTTCACGTGCCTTTCTGTTCCATGTGCCTCCTCCGGGTCTCCTTCTGGCTCTTCATCCTGCTTCCTTTCCTTCCTCAGTCTCCTCTGCAGCTTCTTCTCCTTTCATGCTTTCTTGTTTTGATTAATTTCTAGTTTCATACACTTGTGGTCAGAAAAAATACTTGATATGATTTAAATTTTCTTGAATTTATTGACACTTGTTTTGTGATTCAACGTGTGATCTGCCCTGGAGAATGTTGCATATGTACTTTAGAAGAATGTGTGCTCAGTTTTTGGGGGGAGGAGTACCTTATAATGTTTGTTAAGCCCATGTGTTCTAATTCTTCATTAGGCTGCTGATTCCTTATTAATTTGCTATCTGATTGATCTGTTCATTGATGTAAGTTGGGTATTGATGTCCCTTACTGCTATATGTTTTGCTATCAGTGTCTGTTTTTAGGTTTGTTAATAGTTGGTTCATTGGTACGTATGCCCTGATGAGAGTTGTATCTTCTTCTTATGTTTTTTTTTAAAAGATTTATTTGTTTATGCATATAAGAACTGGGGTGAGGCCAGAGGTATGGGGGAGGGGGGGATGAGATGATTCACGAGAGACAGAGTAGGGAACAGAACAGGCAGACTGACCGAAATACACTGCTGAGGGAAGCAGCAGGTGAGACAGGAGACGTCTGCCTCACCATGTTTGTCGCTCCCTGCCTGGCTAGGGATCAAATTTGTGCTGCAGGGGCTGCAGATTGCTTCATAGTGCAGTGCTTAACCCCTTGCGCCACCAGGGAGGCCCTTCTTCTTATGTTTTGATCCCTTAATCAGTATATAATGTCCATCCCTTTCTCTTATTATCAATTTTATCCTGAAGTCTATTTCATCTGATAAAGTGTGACTTCTTTGCTCTTCCTGGTAATGGGTGGTCCTCCTCCCTCCACACCTCACATTGAAAATTTATAGTGGTTTCATGTGTGACCCCTACCACCAGCTTCAGGGGGTAAAGATGTGGTTCTAGGGTCATGGCCCCCAAAAGCCAGATCCTCCTTTGCTTATATCCCTCTGGCATGGCCCCTGGTAGCAGCTGTGATAGCATCATCTGCCATGGTGGCTGCGTACTCTTCTACTGCTATGTTTATGCCTCTTCCCTCTGTAGACTCTGTAATTTTGTGATAGAGAAGTCTTTTTGGATACCCACTTTCTGTAATGTAATTCGTCCTTTCATGATTAGTTGATAGGAGCTGTTTGGGATGTCATTAGAGAGATATTTTCCTGATATACCTTACTACTTCATGTTTCTGGGCATTTCCTGTATTGTATATCTTTAATGTGTGACACTCTGCAAAGAAGTAATGAGGGGGGTGGTGTATGTTTTTAAAATATATTTTACAGTTATACTAAAACAAGTTTCTTATGTGGAAAGTTGACATATTCCAAGTGATTCCTATTTATTTGAATAATACAAATATTTTTGTATTAAATATGGTAAATTGTGTTGATTCTATGTGGACAATTCTTCCATGAATTTTGTTAGTAGGACTTCACCATCAGTTGCCATTCAGTCATCCCACTAAATTGTGGGACTAATCAGCCTTTTCTGCTTTTTTATTTAGTGCCTGATTTGCTTAGCTTTTCGTAGATGATACTGTATTTCCAGTGGTTACCAACCTGTCTTCATCTTACCACATCCCATCTCACTGAAGCTCTGCAGCATTGCCCTCTTCCTCCACATTGTTACCAATTTCTGTGTAGCTCTCTGGGAATAAGATGCCAACTTGCATGTGTCTTCTTAAATTTCTGTCAGTGCTGCATGACCTCTACCAACTGAGGGTGCCAGCTCTGACTGACGTATTAGACAAGACTCTTGCCTTGTCTTTCTGTTTGGTCAGTTTTTATGTGCTTCCTGGAATTGCTTACTCTTTCATAACCAGGGTAGACGCCCCCTTTTCTTCTAGACAGCTTTCTGTGTATGTTATGGCTGTGAATTGCAAGCGTTTTCTTTATCCTCTTGAGTAGAACATAGAGCCCCAGGCTACTTAATTCACACTCAGGCTTTTTGTGGTTTCAGGTGATCGCTGGTCTGTACCACAGAGCCTTTCATCATCTTTCTGAGGCTGTACGGATAGCTGAGGAGGAGACCCAGTTTTGCACCTGGGGTCAGGGACCTGCAGCAGGAGTGATCGATGCTTATATGACATTGGTTGATTTCTGTGATCAGCAACTCCGCAAGGAAGAAGACAGTGGATCAGGTGAATCACAGAGTAAAAGCAATCTAGTGTGTCATGTTAAGTTAGCATAAATTCTTAAGAATCTTGTACATACTTTTGTTGGTTTTGTTTTAATTTTTTAAATCTTAGAAGTACTGTGTTTTTATTTAAGCAATGATTAAAAATATGTTTTTTGAATTTTATTTATTTTTACTTTCTTGTATTGTCATTCATTTTTGTACAATATTTGATTTCTTCACTCAGGGGTTTGTTTGGCTTTAGATGACAAACATTCTGGGAGAAGTCTCTTTTTTTTTAAGAGACAGTGATATCTCCAGGCAACACGAGGAATGTTGACATCCAGATAAATGGCGTCAAGCTATCTTCTGTCTTTGCATTTTCTTAATCTTTACTTTCATATTTTGCTTTTGGCTTTGGTATTATTGACTTATGTGGCCTGCCTCTGTTCCTGGAATAAATTCAGTGACCAGTAATTGTCCCTTAAGTTTTCAGTCCAGGAAGCAAACTGTGCTTCATGTAGAGTGGGTAATCTAAAAGAATTTAGCTTTAAAATAGAAACCTACATAAAGTACAAAATTGTCTGTTTTTTTGTTGTAGTTGTTAAAAAGAGAACAATGACATACTATAAAGTAGAAGCCAATGATAAAAATTACAATCGTTTATTAAATTTGTAATATTTGTATAAATGGATATATTGATCCTTGATCTCATCCTTTCTATTTTTGGTAGTTATTGAGTCTTTAGAACTGCAGCTATATCCAGCCCTTGTGGTAGAGAAATTGTTGAAAGCTTTAAAATTCCATTCCAATGAAGCCAGACTCAAGTTTCCCAGGCTGCTGCAGATTATAGAACAGTATCCAGAGGAGACCCTGAGCCTAATGACAAAAGAGGTTAGTATCTTTACTCTAGTGAAAACTTTACAGAACCTAAAGAGATATTCTTATTTATATCCAAATATTAGTGTATACAGTATGTTTTTTACAGCTCTTCCTAACCAGCATTGAATTTTGCTATTCCAAAAACCTATGTAAATTAAAAATATATAAAAATGTGTTCAATTTCACCCGTATTCTTCTGTAAGTGTTAATAAGAATGCTGTGTCTGGGGCCTCCCCTGGTGGTACAGCGGTTGAGCGCTGGACTGCGAAGTTGCCTGCAGCCTCTGCAGCGCTGGTTCGATCCCCGGCCACCGGTGAGGGTCCCACATAGTGTGCAGACCTCTCCTGCCCTGCCCACTGCTCCCCTCAGCAATGTATTTCGTCAGTCTGCCTGTTCTGTTCCCCGCTCTGGCTCTGGTGAATTGTTTCACCCTCCTGCACTTCTGACTGTACCCAGTGCTTGTATAAATAAATAAATAAATAAATAAATAAATCTTTTTTTTTTTTTTTTTTTTTTTTTTTGATTTTTGTGTATGGTGTGAGGTAGTGGTCAAGCTTAATAAATAAATCTTTTTTTAAAAAAATAAAAAAGAATGCTGTGTCTGAACAAAGACCATAAGAAATAGAGGAGGAGGTATCTTTCAGAAGATAGTAGGGTTTTTTTATATCAAAGTTGCTGTACAATAAAGACAATGCTGTGGTCTGTAATGCCTGTGGTGCTGTATGCTCAATTTATTACTTAGCCCAGAAGAAGGAGCACTCTTCAGTTGGCATTCCCACCCCCAGGACTGTAGTGCCTTCTGGCTATGCTGTGACCATGGAATCCTCAGCCCTTAAATACAGTGAGCAGTTACTGTGCAGGCTGAAGGATTCACACCCCCACACATCCTGCTCCCCACCTCGTGTGTCCCTCATTGGCTAGATTACACACAGAGCTGTGTCAACCTGCTGCCCTCCTGTCATTTGGGCTGTGTCTATTAGAAATGGAGTGCCATTTTTTTTTAAAGATTTATTTTATTTATACAAGAACTGGGGTACAGGCCAGTTGCGCGGGAGGGCGAGAAGATTCATCAGAGACAAAGTGGGGAACAGAACAGGCAGACTGACGAAATACACTGCTGAGGGGACCAGCGGGTGAGACAGGAGAGGTCTGCTGCGCCATGTGGGTTGCTCCAAGGCCGGTGAGGATCGAATGGACACTGCAGAGGCTGCAGACAACTTCACAGCGCTGCTCTCAACCTCCTGCGCCACCAAGGAGGCCCCTGGAGTGCCATTTTAAAGGCTTCTTAGTGACCCCTGTAGATATTTAACTAGAACATAAGGCATACTTTGAGTTGGTAACATAAGAGCTAAAAAATGGTGCTGTAGTACTTTTTAAAAAATTTTTATTTTTTAATTAATTTTTTTACATCATTGTTCATTTTTAAACAATATTTGCTGAGCCTCCCCTGGTGGCACAGGCAGTTGAGTGCCACGCTGTGAAGCTGTTCGCAGCCTCTGCAGTGCCGGTTCTATCCCAGCCAGCCAGCGATGGTCCCACATGGCGTGGCAGATCTCTCCTGTCTCGCCCGCTGCTCCCCTCAGCAATGTATTTCGTCAGTGTGCCTGTTCTGTTCCCCGTTCTGTGTCTGGTGAATCCTCTCACCCTCCCCGCGCCTCTGGCCTGTACCCTGGTTCTTGTATAAATAAATAAATCTTAAAAAAAAAAGTTGCTTTCCCCCACCCCCTCAGGTGTAGTCCCCATAGAGTTTCCTTCACCAGTGTACCCATGCACTATCACCTTAGTCCTCTGTGCTCCTCCCTCCTGCCCTCTGATCCCTGTCCCTCCTCCTCCCCTGCATCATGTCTCTGATTTATAATGTCTGTTTTTACTTTGTTGTGTTTTGTACTGTTATTTTTTTACACTGATGTCTTACTTGGTTTCCCTATATTCCTGCTATAAGTGAAATCATCCAATATTTTTCTTTTTCCTTCAGGCTTATTTCGCTGAGCATAATTCCTTCTAGTTCTATCCACGTTGCTGTGAATGGCATGAGTTTATCTTTTTTGATTGCTGAATAATATTCTCTAAGCTGAGGAGACTGTCATTGTTTTATAATACCCTGTCACCCTGTTGTGGATTTGATGGTGGGGATTATTAAGTATGTCTTAAACAGGAGTGTAAATTAAATTAAGTCAAACAAATTCAGCATGTAAATATTTTTCTTAAAGATAAGTGAAAAATAATTTATGATTTTAGTTTTTTCCAAAGTAATGATTCATTTATATGTAATAAAAATAGCATTTTGAGTTTGAAAATAAATGGAGTAAGTCATTGTTTTTATGATACCCAGGAGTCACTTAAGGTGAGGAAGCTAAACATCAATGAGTGCTCCCTGTGACTCTGTGGCTGCATCTTCTATCCTCATAGGCCTTGCTCTCTGCCCTTATTTTATACATGGAATTAGGAAGCTCACCCACCTTCCTTATACCAACAATCCAAGTGCATCAGATTTTATGTTTAACACCTTAAAAAGCATTAGAGGCAAACATGAGCAAATTTTGAAAATGTCTTGGAGTAAAGCGACAAAAACCAAAACTGTAAGGGAAGATACTTTGATTCTTACTGGCAGGGAAAAAAATACCATACACACAGTTCAAAAAACTTGAAGAAGAGTATTTAACCAGTGTTAAAGACAGAACTCACATCTACACTCTCCAAAATAAACAAAATGGAAAAAGTGCACATATAGTGAAATAGGGAAGGCGAATAAATACAATTTACTAATAATGAAACACAAAATTAAATCTTTTTCACTTTTTGGATTGATAGTAGATTTAAAAATTGATTTGTCTCCATTGCTGGAAAAAATTTGGGAAATACACTTTTACATGTGAAAATTTGAAAAATCTTTCTTGAGGGAAATACAGCAATGTTCTTCATAATTGTTAATGTCCACACAGTAATTTTTCTTCTAGGAACTTTTCCTATGGAATCCAAATATAAAGAGGTAAACATATAGGGATGCCCATTATCTGTAATTGCAAAAGTTGGGAAAAACCTTAAAATTAATTATAGAGGGACCTCCCTGGTGGTGCAGCGGTTGAGTGCTGGGTTGTGAAGCTGCCCGCAGCCTCTGCAGTGCTGGTTCGATCCCTGGCTGCTCCCCGGCCACCGGAGGAGGGTCCCACATGGCACACAGACCTCTACTGCCGCCCGCTGCTCCCCTCAGCAGTGTACTTCATCAGTCTGCCTGCTCTGCTCTCTGCTCTCCACTCTGACTCTGGTGAGTTCTCTCACCCTCCCACGCTTCTGACTGTACCCAGTGCTTATATAAATAAATAAATCAATCTTTTTTTTTTTTAAGAGTTATTAAAAAAATTAATTATAGAGCAGTAATTATATTAAATGCAATATTATAAAGCTGCTAAGTGGAATGAGATAATTCTGTCTATATCTCCATCTAAGAAAAGCAAGCAACAGTAGTCTAGCCTGCTTCTATTTTTGTTAGGAAAGGAAATGTGTGCACATGCATAGAAAATACCTGTAAGAATCAAATTGTTGCCACAGTAGAGTAGAACTGAGACATCTGTGGGAGAGAATGCTCTGTTTTATACTTTGACTATATTTTTAATACTACTGATTGTATGTGTGTATATACTATACTTACACTATACATACTATACATACATCTTATTATGGACACTTAACTTTTATAATAAAGCAGTGTTCAATGTTGTATTCATGATTAATTTTTTTTTATTTTAACTTTTATATATTTTTTACATCATTTTTCATTTTTGCACAATGTATGCATTTTCATCTTGGTTATAGTCCTCATACAATTCCCACCACCCTTGTTTTGGCCATAATCTCTCCTATCCACCCCCCACCCCCGTAGTGTGTACCTGGTCTATAGTTTGTTGATTTTGATTTTTGCTTTATTATAATTAGTCTTTTTCCTGGTCCCTTATTTAAGTTTTCTAAATTCCTGCTGTGAGTGAGACCATCAGGTATTTTTCGTTCTCTTTCTGGCTTATTCGCTGAGCATGATCCCTTCCAGCTCCATCTATGTTGCTACAAATGGCATGAGTTTATCTTTTTTGATTGCTGAGTAATATTCCATTGTGTATATGTACCATATATTCTTGATCCAGTCATCTATTTTTGGGCATTTTGTTGTTTCCATAACTTAGCTATTGTAAAAAGTGCTGCTGTAAACATAGGAGTGCAGGTGCCCTTTTGAATTAATGATTCTGTGTCTCTAGGTAAATACCTAGGAGTGGAATAGCTGGATCATATGGAAGCTCCATCTTTAGCAGGTTAAGGAATCTCCACACAACTTTCTATAGTGGTTAGACCAGTTTGCATTCCCACCAGCAGTGCACGAGAGTTCCTTTTTCTCCACATCCTCACCATCATTGGCTGTTGCTAGGTTTTTTTTAATATGTGCCATTCTCACTGGTGTGAGATAGTATCTCATTGTAGTTTTGATTTGCATTTCCCTGATTATAAGTGATGCTGAACATTTTTCATATGCCTGTTGGCCATTTGCATTTTCTTTTTGGAGAAGTTCCTTTTTAGCTCTTCTGCCCATTTTTTGACTGGATCATTTACTTTGTATTTGTTAAGACTATTGAGCTCTGTAGATTTTTGTGATCACTCCTTTATCATTAGTGTTGTGTGCAAAAATTTTCTCCCAGTCACTGAGGTGTTTGTTTTGGTTACTGTCTCCTTTGCTGTACAGAAGCTCTGTAATTTGATGTAGTCCCAGCTGTTTACCTTTGCCTTCACTATCACTGCTTTGGGTGATGTTACTGATGTGTATGTCAGGTAGTGTTTCCCTATATTTCTTTCTAATATTTTATGGTTTCCTACTATGTATTTTATGGTTTCCTTCCATATATTTTATGGTTTCAGGTCTTATGTCTAGTTCTTTAATCCATTTTATTGAGTTGGTTTTTGTGCATGAGGTGAGGTATTAGTCAAGCTTCATTCTTTTGCATGTAGCGACCCAGTTCTCCCAGCACCATTTATTGAAGAAACTTCCTTTGCTCTATTGCATATTCTTTGCTCCTTTGTCAAAGATTAGTTAACTGTAAATCTGTGGATTTATTTCTGGATTTTCTATTTTGTTTTATTGATCTGTGTGTCTGTTCTTGTTCCAGTACTGTGCAGTTTTGATTATTATGGCTTTGTAGTATAGCTTGAAGTCTGGGAGTGTGATGCCTCCATTCCCTTTTTTATTCAGGAGAACTTTGGCTATTCGGGGTTTTTGGTGGCTCCATATGAATTTCATCAATATTTGTTCCATTTTCTTGATGAATGCCATTGAAACTTTTATTGGAATAGAATTGAATCTGTAAATTGTTTTTGTAGGATGGCCATTTTGATAATGTTAATTCCTCCAATCCATGATCAGGGGATGTCTCTCTATTTCTTTGTATCTTCTTCTATTTCTTTTAACAGTGTTTTATAGTTTTCTTTGTATAGGTCCTTTACCTCTTTTGTTAGGTTTATTCCCAAGTATTTGATTTCTTTTTTTGTTTCAATAATAAAAAAGGTGGTTTTCTTGATTTCTTCTTCAGATTTATTGTTTGTGTGTAGGAAGGCTACTGATTTTTGTGTGTTGATTTTGTATCCCCTTACTTTACTAAACTGATTAATTAGTTTGATTAGTTTTTCTGTGGAGTTTTTGGGGTTCTCTATGTATATTATCATATCATCTGAGAATAGTGATAGTTAGACTTCTTCCTTGCCTATTTGGGTTCCTTGTTTGTCTTTCTCTGTCTTATTGCTCTGGCCAGGACTTCCAGTATTATATTGAAAAGCAGTGGTGAGAGTGAGCATCCTTGTCTTGTTCCAGACCTCAGTGGAAATTCTTTCAGCTTTTCACCATTGAGAATGATATTGGCTATGAGCTTGTCATATATGGCCTTTATGATGTTGAGGTATGTTCCTTGTATCCCGAGAATTTCAAGGGCCTGTATCATAAATGGGTGTTATAATTTGTCAAAAGCTTTCTCAGCATCTATTGATGTTATCATATGGCTTTTATATTTCTTTTTGTTGATGCGTTGGATTACATTGATTGATTTTCAGATGTTGAACCATCCTAGTGTCCCTGGAATAAATCCTGCTTGGTCATGGTGAATTATCTTACAGATACATTGTTGGATTCTGATAGCTAAAATTTTATTGAGGATTTTTGCATCAGTGTTCATTAGAGAAATTGGCCTGTAGTTTTCTTTTTTGGTGTTGTCCTTGTTTGGTATTGGTATTAGTGTAATATTGGCTTCATAGAACATGTTTGGAATTATCCCTTCCTTATCAATTTTTTGAAAGAGTTTATGAAGGATAGACACTAATTCGTTTCTGAATGTTTGGTAGAATTTATTCGTAAATCCATCTGATCCTGGGCTTTTGTTTTGGGGGAGGGTTTTGATTACCATTTCAATTTCACTGCTTGTAATCTTTTGTTTTTTTAATTTATACAAGTACTAGGTACAGTCAGAAGCACAGGAGGGTAAGAGAATTCACCAGAGCCAGAGCAGGGAACAGAACAGGCAGATCGAGGAAAAACACTGCTGAGTGGAGCAGCGGGCACAGCAGGAGAGGTCTGCGCACCAGGTGGGACCCTCACCAGTGGCCGGGGATCGAGCCAGCGCTGCAGAGGCTGCAGGCAGCTTCTCAGTCCAACACTCAACCGCTGTGCCACCAGGGGAGGCCCTGTAATCGTTTTGTTTAGGTTTTCTATTTCTTCTTTATCTAGCTTGGGTGATTGTAGAGTTGTAGATTTGTCCATCTCTTCTAGATTGTTGAGCTTGTTTGCATATAACTGTTCATAGTAGTTTCTGATTTGTCTTTTGATTTCTGCTGTGTGTGTTGTGATTTCTCCTCTTTCATTTGTGATCCTATTTATTTGTGCTTTCTCCCATTTTTTCTTGGTGAGCCTGGCTAAGGGTTTGTCTATTTTATTTATTTTTTCGAAGAACTAACTTTTGGTTTTGTTGATCTTTTGGATTGTTTTTTTTTTAGTTTTGATTTCATATATTTCTGCTTTGATTTTCATTATTTCCTTTCTTCTACTGATTTTAGGGTTTTTTGTTGTTCTTTTTCTAGTTCTTTGAGATATAAGATTAGTTGTTTCTTTGAGTTCTTTCTTGTTTCTTGATGTGAGCCTGTATTGCTAGATGTTTTCCTCTTATTACTGCTTTTGCTGCATCCTATATATTTAGTAAATTGGTGTCTGCCTTATCATTCAAGACAAAGTATTTTTTTTTTTAGATTTATTTATTTATTTATTTATACAAGCATTGGGTATAGTCAGAAGCGCGGGCGGGTGAGAGAATTCACTAGAGCCAGAGGGGAGAGCAGAGCAGGCAGACTGATGAAGTACACTGCTGAGGGGAGCAGCGGGCGACAGGAGAGGTCGGCGCGCCATGTGGGACCCTCGCCTGTGGCTGGGGATTGAACCAGTGCTGCAGAGGCTGACGGGCAGCTTCGCAGCCCAACGCTCAGCCCCTGCGCCACCAGGGGAGGCCCTCAAAGTATTTTTTAATTTCTTCTTTGATTTCCTCATTAATCCAGTGGCCTTCCAGTAGTGCGGGTTTCAATCTCCATGAGGTGGGATGGTTCTTTGCCTACTTTTTATTATTTATTTCTAGTTTGATGCCTTCATGGTCAGAGAAGATGGTTGGTATGATTTCAATCTTGGTATATCTGTTGATGTTTGTCTTGTGTCTCTTTATGTGATCGATCCTAGAGAATTATCCGTGTGTGCTTGAGAAAAATGTGTACTCAGATTTTTTTGAGTTTAGTGTTCTGTAGCTGTCTGTTAAACCCATGAGGTCTAGGTTTAGAGCTTTAATGTCCTTATTTATTTTTTTGTCTCGATCATCTATCTATTGTTGATAGTGCTGTGTTGAAGTCTCCTACTACATATGCGTTTTCTCTGATGTCTGTTAGCAGAGATGATAATAGTTGTCCAGTATATTTTGGTGTTCTTTCATTTGGTGAGTATATGTTCATGAGTGTTATGTCTTCTTTAAGACTGTGAACATCTGGGTGTCTTTTTACCTTTTTGAGCTTGAAATCTGTTTTATCTGATATAAGTATAGCTGTTCCTGCCTTCATTTTTGGTCCATTTGCTTGTAGGATTGTTTTCCATCCTTTTACTTTCGGTCTATTTTGTTTCTTAATCCATCCTGCAACTCTGTCTTTTTATTGAAGAATTTAGTCCATTTACATTTAGAGTTAATATTGATATGTTAGCATGTATTTGCCATTTTGTTTGTCTTTTCTCTGGTTTTACTTATTTTTCAATTTTTTGGGTCTTGTTTCATTCTTACTCATCCCTCTGTTGGTTCTGGCTTTAGGACTCCTTGTAGTATTTTTTTGGAGTGGGGGTTTAGTCGTAATGAAATTCCAGAGTTTCTGTTTGTCTGGGATGGTCCTTATTCTTTCTTCATAGAGGAAGAAAAGCTTTGTGGGATAGAGTGTTCTTGGTTGGCACTTGTTGCCTTAGAGTCTGTTGACTATGTCCCTCCACTCTCTCCTTGCCTGTAATGTTTCTTCAGAATAGTCTGATATCAGCTTGATTGGTTTTCCTTTGAATGTTACCTGTTTCTTCCCTCTTGACAGCTTCATTATTTTTTTCCTTGTCCCAGATTCTTGGGAGCTTTAGTATTATGTGTCTTGCTGTATTTTTCCTTCCATCATGGAAGTTTGGTGTTCTTCTTGCTTCTTGTTTGTCTATTTTCAGCTCCTTCTTCATGTTTGGGAAGTTCTCTTCAATTATTTCCTTAAATATTTTCTCTGTTCCTATGTCTCTCTCCTCTCCTTCTGGGATTTCTACAATTATTATATTTCCTTTCCTCATGGAGTCAGTCTTCTTTTTTTTTTTTTTCTGTCTTCATTCTTTTTTCTTCATACTTCACTTTCCTTTTCTGTTTTGGTCTTTTTATTTCTGTGTTTTCAAGAGTACTTATTTGTTCTCCCATTTCACCTATTCTGCTTTCACTGCTTTTCCCAGAGTTCTTTAGCTCCTCCTTTAATCCTTTGATCTCCTGCTTTTCTTTTACTTGCCTCTTTAGGGACTCAGTTTCATTCTTCTAATTGTTGATTATTTTTCCCTTATTGTTGCTTTACTTTATGACTTCTTTCAGTTTTTTAATCATGGCGATTTTAAATTCTCTATTGGGAAGGCTCACCTCTGGCTGTGGGGGCAGCCTTTTCCCAGTTCCAAGCAGTCTCAGTGGTGCCAGATGCAAAGGCAAAGATCCCTATTTTCGTATTCATGATTAAATTATAGCTCTTTGTGTTTTAGATTTCCTCCATTCCTTGCTGGCAATTTATTGGTTGGATCAGCCACATGATGGCTTTACTGGACAAGGAGGAAGCTGTTGCCATCCAGCACACTGTGGAAGAGATTGTTGATAACTATCCACAAGCAATTGTCTACCCATTTATCATAAGCAGTGAAAGCTATTCCTTCAGAGACACTTCTGCTGGGCATAAGAATAAAGCTTTTGTGGAAAGGTAATATTACAGAAAAATTAGGTTGTTCAAAATATTACTAAGATTGTGTCTGGTAAAAAGCAAAATCATAGACGTTTGTATTTGTCTTCAAATTAATTCAAATTGTCATTGAAACTGTCAAAAGACATCTGTTTATATCTACCCCAGTTATATCATTTCTTATGGCATTTCTTTCCAATTTAAAATACATTATCTTAGAATGGTATTCATGGGCTGTTGCACCGTATGCTCAGGTAGTGTCTGTTGATTGAGACAGGTGAGATGCATTTTGAAATCAGTTCCTTGAATTTTTAATTTGAAATATCCTGAGGGACCCTCTTACTAATTAGGATTTTTCTGGCTGCCTGAAATGTCGCCCTTTTACATCTTCAGTTGATTTTTAGTGGAGCAATTGATGTTACTAGCATTGGTGTATTACTTTTGCCAATTAATATTTTGTAAATGCATGGTATTCAAGTTGACATTTTAAGTCAAGTGTGTTTTGGTTTTTTTGTAATGAGCTGCTTTACCTCATTATTTAGTGTTGCTTTTTTTTTGTTGTTGTTGTTTTTTCATCTGAGAAGACAAGGAAGAACAAAGCCCAGCTTTTGTTTTAGTTTGTTGGTAGTGTCCATGTACATTCAGCCTGCCTACCCTATATTTTCTCAGCACTTAACTGCAACATCATTCAGTTTTTCCTGTTTTTTTTCAACAACATCAATAGAATTGGAGGGGGTAAGAGAAGGAGAAGACCAAATTTTGGGTGTTCTGACTTGTGTGTAGAATATAGAGAAACAAAACAAAAGAGCTGACAAAAAAACCCAAACAAACTCTGCAAATTATACCAGAATTGAAACTGCTAGAGTGGGAAGATGAGGGTACGGGTAGAGTGGGGAGGGGTATATATGATGGTATATGATAGAGGGATATGGGTGCTTTGGCTGGGTGTGGTGTGGTAATACTCACCTGAGGAGGTGTGACCCTATTCCTCTGAATAGTATGCAGGTATGCAAACCAATATTTTCTACAAAAATAAATACACAAAGGAAAAGAAAAACAGCTTGAAATCATAGTAAAAGCTGAGAAAGTGATCTTTCAAAACATAACTACAGAAGCTTCAAAAATATGTCAAATTGTATTTTTCAAAACCCAAAAAACATTGGCAACAAGATTTGCTTTTCTCTTATCTAAGACTCTCATCTCCCTGAAAATGGACATACAAGAAGCAAGAAGACCACCAAATTTCCACAATGAAAGGAAAACTACGGCAAGACACTTAATAGTAAAGCGCCCAAGAATCCAAGATAAGGATAAAATAATAAAGCTGATGAGGAGAAAGAAACAAATATCCTATATGGGAAAACCAATCAGGCTGACATCAGACCTCTGAAGAAACACTGTGAGCCAGAAGAGAATAGAAGGATATATTCAACAAACTCCAAGATAACAAAGGCCAACCAAAAATACTTTATCCTATAAAACTCTCTTTCCTGAATGAAGAAAAAATAAGGTCATTTTCAGACAAACAGAAACTCCAGACATTCATTTTGCCTGAAGCCTCACTCCAGAAAATACTACATGAAGTCCTAAAACCAAAACCAAGAGAGGAATGAATAAGAAAAACAGAACAAGGCAAGGAATAAAATCACAAAAAAGACAAAATTGCAAATACAGATGCCACCATATCAATATTAATCCTAAATGTAAATGGACTAAACATCTATAAAAAGACACAGAGTCACAGGCTGTATTAGAAAACAAAATCCAACATTCTACTTTCTCCAGGAAATACATTAAAACACAAAAGGTAAACACAGAATGAAAGTAAAAGGTTGGAAAACAATCCTACAAGTATGTGGACCAAAAAAGAAGGCAGAAACCACTACTTATATCAGATGAAATAGACTTCCAACTAAAAAAATGTAAAAAGAGACAGAGATGGACACTACATTATGATTGACTGAGGGGACAGTACATCAGGAAGATATAACACATCAACATATACTCACCAAATTAAGGAGCACCAAAATATATAAGACAATTATTATCATCTCTGAAAACAAACATCAAAGAAAATACATACATAGTAGGAGACTTCTACACCCCACTCTCACCAGTTCAGCAAGACAAAAAATAAAGTCACTAGATCCATTAAAAAAAACCCTAGACCTCAAGGGCTTAATAGACATCTATAGGACACTGTACCCAGAACATCTGAGTACACATTTTTCTCAAGAGTGCATGGATCATTCTCCAGAATCAATCATATATTTGCCCCAAGACATACATCAACAGATACAGTAAGATAAAAATCATTCTAACTATATTCTTTAATCAAAAAGGCATTAAACTAGAAATAAATCATGAAAAGAAAGCAAGGAACCCACCCACTCCATGGAGGTTGAAATGCATACTAGTGGAAGCCCATTGGATTAAAGAGGAGATCAAAGAAGAAATTAAAAAATATTTTGAGTTGAATGAAAATGAGGACACCACTTTCCAGAATATATTGGGATGCAGCAAAAGCAATATTAAGAGGAAAATATATAGCAATACATGCTCACATCAACAAACAAGAAAGAACTCAAAGAAACTACCTAGTCTCACATCTCAAACAATTAGAAAAGGAGCAACAAAAAACCCAAATACCAGTAGAAGAAAGGAATAATAAAAATCAAAGCAGAAATAAACAAAATGGAAATCAAAAAGATCCAAAAAGTTGAATGAAAAAAAAGTTCATTCTTTGAAAAAATAAAATAGACAAACCGCTAGCCAGGCTCCAAAGGAAAAATGGAAGAAAACACAAATAAATAAGATCATAAACGAAAGAGAAATTACAACAGACTCAGTAGAAATCAAAAGAATAATCAGAGATTGCTGTGAACATTTATATGCAAACAAGTTCAAAAATCTTAGCGAGATAGACAAATTTCTAGAACTATGTATGATCCAAAGCTAGATAAAGAGAAATAGAACATCTAAACAGACCAATTACATGAACTAAAACAGTAATCAAAACACTCCCCAAAAACAAAAGCTCAGGATCAGAGGGCCTCACAAATGAATTCTACCAAGCATTCAGAAATGAATTAGTGCCTTTCCTATATAAACTCTTTCAAAAAGTTGAGAAAGAAGGAATGCTATCAAATATGTTCTATGAAGCCAACATTACACTAATACCAAAACCAAACAAAGCAATACAATAAAAGAAAACTGCAGGCCAATCTCCATAATGAACACCGATGCAAGAATCCTCAATAAAATCCACGCCAACAGAATCCAATGATTCATCAAAAGGGCAATACATCACTATCACGTAGAATTTATTCCAGGTGCACAAGGATAGTTAACACCTGAAAATTGATCAGTGTAATCCAACACATCAACAAAAAGAAAAATAAAAACCATATGATCATTTCAGCAGATGCTGAGAAAGCACTTGACAAAGTTCAACATTCATTTATGATGAAGGTCCTCTAAATTTTCAATATAGAAGGAACTTACCTTAACATGATAAAAGCCATATATGACAAACACCCAGCCAATATTATTCTCAATGGTGAAAAACTGAAAACTTTCTTTTAAGATCAGGACCACTGCTCTTCAACATAATACTGGAAGTCCCACCCAGAGCAATAAGACAAGAGAAAGATGTACAAGGAATCCAAATAGGGAAAGAAGAAGTAAAACTATCACTGTTTGCAGACTATATGATAATATATATAGAGAACCCTAAACACGCCACAGAAAAACTAATCAAAATTTATAAAGTAGCAGGATACAAAATCAACACACAAAATCACTAGCTTTCAGCCAATCTGAAGAAGAAATCAAGATAACCATCTCTTTTATAATTGACACAAAAATATCAAATACTTGGGAATAAACCTAACAAAAGAGGTAAAGAAACTATACAAAGAAATTATAAAACATTGTTAAAAGAAATAGAAGACATGAAAAAATGGAAAGACATCCCCTGCTCATAGATTGGATGAATTAACATTATCAAAATGGCCATCCTACCAAAAACAATTTACAGATTCAATGCTATTCCAATAAAAATCTCAGTTACATTCTTCAAAGAAATAGAACAAACAGTGATGAAATTCATATCGAGCCACAAAAAGCCTGGAGTAGCCAAAGCTCTCCTAACTAGAACAAAGGAGAATGGGGGTGTCACACTCCTAGACTTCAAACTATACTATAAAGCCATAGTGATTTAAACAGTATGGTAGTTGAACAAAAACAGACACACATACCAATGGAACCAAACAGAAAGCTCAGAAATAAAGCTGGACATATATGGACAACTAATCTTTGACAAAGGAGCAAAGAATGTGCAATGGAATAAGGACAGTTTGCTCAATAAATGGTGCTGGGAAAATTGAACCACCACATACAAAAGAATACTACCTCACACTGTGCACAAAAATCAACTTAAAATGCATAAAAGAACTGAACATAAGACCTGAAACCATAAAATATATAGAAGAAAACAGGTAAAACACTATAAGACGTACATCTCAGTACCATCTTAAAGACTCATTCCCCAAATCAAAGAAAGTGAAAGAAAAGATAAACAGCTGGGATTGCATCAAACTAAAAAGCTTCTGTATAGCAAAAGAGACATTAACAAAAAACAAAGAGACACCCCACAGATTGAGAGATTTTTGCATTTCATACAACTGATAAGGGATTAATCACAAAGATAGACAAAGAACTCACGTGACTATTCAATAAAAACAAGGTAGACAATCCAGCTAAAAAATGGGCAGAATTTGAAAGACACTTCTCCAAAGTGGACATGCAAATGGCCAACAGACATGAAAAAATACTCAACATCCCTCATAATCAGGGAAATGCAGATCAAAACCACAATTCTTACACCAGCGAGAATGGCACGTATTAAAAAACTAGTGTCAACAAATGTTGGCGAGGATGTGGTGAAAAAGGAACTCTCCTACACTGCTGGTGGGAATGCAACCTGGTCCAACCACTATGGAAAACTGTCTGGCGATTCCTCAGACTACTAAATATGGAGCGACCATATGACACAGTGATTCCACTCCTAGGGATCTACCCAAAACAAAACTTTAAATCAAAAGGATACCTGCACCCCTGTGTTTATTGCAGCACTATTTATAATAGGTAAAACCTGGAAACCACCCAAATGCCCAAAAATAGATAGCTGGATCAAAAAAGATGTAGTACACATGCGCAATGGAATACTATTCAACCATCAAAAGATAAACTCATGCTATTCACAGCAACATGGATGGAGCTAGAAGAAATTATGCTCAGTGAAATAAGTCAGAAGGAAAAAGAAAAATATCAGGTGGTTTCACATATAGGAGGAACATAGGGGAACCAAATAAAGGATCGAGGATTAATAACAATTTAAAAAAAAAAAAACACAAGAAGGGCCTTCCTAGTGGTGCAACAGATTGAGCACAGTGCTGTGAAGCTGTCCGCAGCCTCTGCAGCACAGTTTTGATTCCTGGCCAGCCAGGGAGATACCCACATGGTGCAGCAGACCTCTCCTGTCTTGCCCGCTGCTCCCCTCAGCAGTGTTTTCGGTTGTCTGCCTGTTCTGCTCCCCGCACTGTCTCTGGTGAATTCTCTCACCCTCCCGGGTCTCTGGCCTGTACCCCAGTCCTTGTATGCATAAATAAATCTTTTTAAAAAAACACAAGAAAACAAAACAAAAATTAGCAGATTACTATCAATTAGAGACATTCTGTGGGGAGGGATAAGGAAAGGGATTGAGATAGGGTGGCGGGAAGAGCACAAGAAACTGTGGTGATGGTGCACGGGTGAATTGGTGGTGAAAGTTCTATGGGGACTACACCTGAGAAAAGAAAGCAAACACTTTAAAAATAACAATGAAAAATGAGCAATGATGTAAATAAAAATAATAAGTAAATGAATGAGAAAAGAAATAAATTTGTAACCTGGGTGGGGGGGAAGAATCTCATCTCTTGATAGAATATATGCTTGGTGCTTCATCTAATACTGAATAGAATGTTTAAATTGATAGCGCAAGCGTTAAAGTCTCAGTGCTATCAAGCTGTGGCCAGCCATTGAAGTCTGAGTTCAATCCCCAGCCAGGAAGCTAACCCACATGGTGCAGCAGACCTCTTTGCTAGCCCACTATTCCCTTCAGCAGTGTATTTCAGTAGATCTGCCTGTTTTGCTTCCCACTCCATCTCTGGTGAATCCTCTCCCCCACACCTCTGGCGTATACCCCAGTTCTTGTATGTATAAATAAATAAAAATAAATCTTTTTTAAAAAGGAATTTTTAACTTGCTCTTCTTTTAGACTGTGTAGTTGATTATATATAGCTGTGTGTCCACCTGCATGCAAATGTATGTGTATTTTATATATATTAATTCACATTTATATGTATAAATGATTTTTTAAAGTGGTTTGATGACCTAAGTTTAATAATTTTTCTATAGGATTAGAATTAAACTGGATCAAGGAGGAGCAGTTCAAGATTTTATAAATGCCTTAGAACAACTCTCTAACCCCGAAATGCTTTTTAAGGTAATATTATAAATATTAGCACATAAACTGTAAAGCTTCGATAAAACCTAACTGCAATCTAATTTTATGTTTCTACACCTCTCCCCACACAGGACTGGACTCAGGATATCAAAGTTGAACTATCAAAAACTCCTTTAAATAAAAGAAACATTGAAAAAATGTATGAAAGAATGTATGCAGCCTTGGGAGACCCAAGGGCTCCAGGCCTTGGGACTTTTAGAAAGAAGTTCATTCAGGTATGGGAAATAGAAGCCTTCCTCATGATAATGGAATAATTATGAAAATGAATATTTATGTTTATTGCTTTTTTAATTTTAAAATTTTACTAGCAGTATCAAACATTAAACTTGGTTTAGTTCTGATGCTATCTGTGAGATATTGATAGCATATTTTTAGGTGAGGTGGCTGCAAGTGGGGTAATAGGTTAATTAAACCATTGAGTTTACTGTTATGTTCTTCATGCTCAAATTCTTAGATATGAAGGATTTGTGTAGATTAGTGCTATTTTAATTCTAAGAATGATTTGAATATTGGATCAAGAATATATTTGTATGTGATATATGTTGTTAATTACTTTTGAGTATTTATCTCTGATCAAAGCACAATCCCTGGTGCTACAGGAGGTAGAAAGAGAAGGTAGACACAGTTCCTCAATTCAAAGGGATTGTCTGGCAAATGCTGTATATAAAGAACGTGGTAAATATGAGATGTGTTTTTAAAGTTGCTCTGGAGTTGAAGCAAGTGGTGATGGAAATGAACCTTGAAATGTTCAGATTTATACCACCATGCCTTGTGCTTGTTGCTCCCGTAAGTGGGACTTACCTTTTCTTCCTTGTCCGCCTGGAGAGCTCACCCTTGCAGACATGGTTTATGCATCATTTTTCCTTTAGATCTGCTAGTACTACCACCTCCTCACTGTCCCCAAGCAGAATTAGGTATTCCTTCCTTTTGGTTGCCTAAATCACCTTACCACACTGATTCTCTCTTGATGTTTATCACACACTGGTTATGTTTTCTAATTTTGGTTAAACTACCTTTGCTTATTAAACCTCAAAAAGTTTAAGCATAAAGGGTCTATGGTGCCAGAGATCTCAGGATCCACAGTCTCCAATGTAAAGGAAGATCTTTGTCCCTTCTGGTTGTTCTTTTAATAATTACTTTATTAAGATATAATACACATATCTTATAACCCACCCATTTAAAGTAAAATACCATAATTTTTATTAGATTTACAGAGTTGTACACATAGTATCTCTACTTCTTAACATTTTTATCACTCCAGAAAGAAATCCCTTCCCCATTAGCAGTTATTTATTCCTCATTCCTTCCTCCTACCAGCCCCAGGCAACCACTAAACTACCATCCGTTGCTATGGACTTGCCTATTCTGGATATTTCATGTTAATGGAATCACAGAGTGTGTGACCTGTGTTCTTTCCCTTGGTATATGTTTTCAGGTTTTGTCTGTGTTGTAGCACGTGTCAATACTTCATATTTTTTTATTGCTGAAAATTATATTGTATTCGTGTGCAACATTTTGTTTATCCTTCATCAGCTGATGGATGTTTGGGTGTCTCTGCTTCTTAGCTATTATGAATAGTGCTGCCACAAACATCTGCATACAAGTTCTGGGGAGTCCCTCAGGAGTGAAACTCATATTTATCTTTAACTCTTCATTTAACTTATGCCTCCTGAGTTAGACTTGCAGGCTGGGGTTTTGTCTTGTTCATCTTTTCTCTCCAGTTCCTAATATACTGCTGATGTAAAACAAATGTAATTAGATAAATGTATGGTATAATTTTGATAAGTGGTGATAGATTTTGATAGGTCATTGCTATTCAGGGTAGTTTTAATTATAGATACAGAACTATCTGTTGCCTAAATTTGAGTAGGGATCTATCTTAAAAGTGAACATAAAAACATAAACCTCTGTACTTATTTTTTTTTTTTTTTTTTTTTTTTTTTTTTTAATTTTTATTTTTTATAGAGGCATGTTTTTATTTATTTATTTGTTTGTTTTGTTTTTTTGTTTATACATGCACTGGGTACAGTCAGAAGCGCGGGAGGGTGAGAGAATTCACCAGAGCCAGAGCGGGAAGCAGAGCAGGCAGAAGGACCGAAGTACACTGCTGAGGGGAGCAGCGGGCGGCAGGAGAGGTCTGCGCGCCATGTGGGACCCTCGCTGGTGGCCGGGGAGCAGCCGGGGATCGAACCGGCGCCGCCGAGGCCGCGGGCAGCTTCGCAACCCAGCGCTCAACCGCTGCGCCACCGGGGAGGCCCTGTACTTATTTTTATAACACATTATGCTCCATATCATATCAAACCTCTTTCACGGTAGTGCTGCACATTTAATATGTAAGGGTCTCTGTAAAGGAAATGCACATATTATAAATGTACTTAAAACTTAATTTACCAGCAGGCGCAAGGGGTTAAGCGCCACACTATGAAGCAATCTGCAGCCTTTGCAGCATGAGTTGGATCCCCGGCCGGCCAGGGCCAGGGAGCATCCCACATGGTGCGGCAGACCTCTCCTGTCTCACCTGCTGCTCCCCTCACCAGTGTATTTCAGTCAGTCTGCCTGTTCTTTTCCCCACTCTGTCTCTGGTGAATCCTCTCACCCCCCACATCTCTGGCCTGTACCTCAGCTCTTGTATGCATAAATAAATTAAAAAAAAAGAATTTATAAAAAAAAAAACCTAATTTACCGGCATTAATGAACCTTTAAAAAATCATTAGACTTTAGAGTGTGTCTTTGTTTTTTCCTAAACTAGTGATCCACATACTTTTTCTGTAAAGGTCCAGATTTCCAGCTTGTAGGTCTTTCTGGTCTTTTGTCAGAAGTCTTGCCATCTGCCATCCTAGTGTGAAAGCGCCCAGACAGTGTGTAATAAACAGCTGAGGCTGATGGATTCCAGTAATATTTCATTTATATAATAAAAACAGACCAGTGGGTTGGATTTGATTTGTGGGCTGTAGTTTGCTAAATCTTGTTCTAAACAAAGAAGCTGGTGCTGAAAAAGAGGTGACTTGCATTTTTGAACAGAGAGAAGTGGCAGAATGGAAGCTAGAACCACATTTCCCAGTCTTGTAGTCCCAACCCATCAACTATGAAAAGATTTTGTTTCAACTGTATACCTCTCTTCTATACCCTCTCCTAATAGACTCTACTCCTGGGTATACTCTATTCCAATCCCAGGCAGGGTGGTGCAAGTGTCACTATAATTCAGTAAGCTAGTGTAAGAATGTCTGCAGCAGTCCTATCCATTGCCTCATGCAGAATAGTTCTACACAGCCCTCATAAAGGATTGCACGTTATCCCTTTGAATTTATGATCACTCCCTTCACCTGCATGCTGGATGCTGTAAGATGCTGCCCTGAAATCTGTTCATTTAGATCCCTGTTCCCAGCTGCTGTGAGTACAGCTGTATTAGTGCTAACCCAGTGGCAATATCAGAGTGGCAGATACACACCACCGGCTGTGAGATTTGTCCTCTACCTTGGAAAGTCAATGCAGAATGTTCTACTTTATAACAAGTCAGTACATACTTTGCATTAATTAATTAAAAAAATCAAAACCAGAATTGCCTCAGATCATGTTATAGTATCTTTTAAGGATATTGTGCCATTCAGATGAATTGTTTTTGCTAGTTTTGTTTGGAAAATGGCTAACCTTTCAGTGTATTCCGAGAGTTTCAGATCATTTCAACACTTTTAATTCATGGATCAGAGAAGAAATCCGCTTTATATATGTCAGTGTTTCTATAATAGAGTAAAATAGAACATATCTTTCATTCATACCAGATTTATGTTAGAGGTTTGTTCTAACTTTGGTAAGAGCATTTCTAATTAAAGATGATGAGTCAATCTTAAGGACTATTAGTAGAGTTGGTAAATATTTTTGAGGTTTTTTTTATACTATTCCTCAATTTATTTTATTGAGGTAACATTGACTTACAACACCATATATGATGCAGAGGATCATATGATGTATAGGATCATATCTATTCAGAAATATGTTACCACACCACATCTACCACCAGGGCACCCATAGTCCTCCACCATAGTCCAGTGGATCCCCGCCACACTGCTCTCCATCCTTTCCCCTCCTGCTCTGGTAGCCTCATTCTACAGACAGATTTCCAGGGTACATTTTCAGTTTGTTTTTGTCTGATCCTGTTTTGTTTCTTTGTATTCCACATGTAAGGGAAACCATTGGTATTTACTGTCTCTCCTTTTGACTTATTTCACATAACATAATCCCTTCCCTTTCTATCCATGTTATTGCAAATGGCAAGAGTTCATCTTTTTTATAGCCATGTAGTATTTCATTGTGTATACATACATCTCCTTAATCTATTCATCTGTCCTAGGGAGCTTAGGTTGTTTCCATAAGTTGGTTATTGTAATAGGGCTACAATGAATAAACCTTGGAATTCATGTTTTTGCATTCTTTAAGTAGATACCTAGGAGTGGAATTGCTGGGTCATGGAATTGCTGGGTCATGCGGTAGATCTCTTTTTAATATTTTGAGGAACCTACTGGATCATAACTTAAATATTTGAATGGTGACTAATGCAAAGAAATATTTGATATATTTCAATGTAAAGTACTTCTAATAATAATTGCTTTTAGATGTACATATTACCTAAATAATGTTTGTTAGTTCATGACTCAAAATAGTGGCTTACTAGTAGAAATAGCATTATTATATTGCTTCTTTATTTTTTATGAAGAATTGTGGGCTGTTCATTTTATTGAATTACTCCCCTTATTTTTTTTTGCTTTTTACTTTGCTTCTAATTACTCCTGTTATCATAGTGATTCAGGTTAGTAAGTAGACAATGGTCACTGAGGTTAAGTGACTTTCCCAAGCATTTAAAGCCCCTAATAGAATTTATAGTTAGACATTATTTTATTAGAACCATATCCTTTCTGTCTTTTCAAAGGAACACAATGAAATTAACAAAAGGCAGGCTTCAGGTGTTTTATATTGAAACATTCAAGTAAAGCAAAACTGTAAACCTTAATTAAAAGTACAGAATAAACTTACATAATTGAATAGACAGTTGTTTATTAAACATTAAATTTAGTACCTTATCTAAGGATCAACATTAATATTGAAATTTTTATAAATTTCAGACTTTTGGAAAAGAATTTGATAAACACTTTGGGAGAGGAGGTTCTAAACTACTTGGAATGAAACTTCATGACTTCAGTGACATTACTAACTCACTGCTTTCAAAAATGTTCAAAGACTCAAGGCCACCTGGGAATCTGAAAGAATGCTCCCCCTGGATGAGTAATTTCAATGTAGAATTCTTGAGAAATGAGCTGGAGATTCCTGGTGAGTTCATCTTCAGAGTGACGAAATTGTACTTTAAGGTGAATAGTGCTATCATAGAACTTCCAGTTTTTGAAATAGTGATGTCAGGATTTTGACAGGTATCTTTATTTAAGAATTTAAAATTTCACCATATTTTTCATTATTAAGAAAATCTATAATTACTCTGAATTACTACATTTTACTAAATGTCTAATGAGATTATAACATTCCTGTTGATGGCAAATGTTCAGAATTTCTTGGTAACTGATAATCATGTATCTCCTCTGAACATCCCTATCCTTTGCTCGAATAACTTTTCTTCAGAAATATAATACTGGTATAGATGCAAATCATTTCTGGCATATACCTGTTAGTTCCATTTAAAGTGATCAGATAATGACAAATTCCTTCAGGAAAAAGGATATGACACCGAGGATAGAGACATAAGATGTTGGGCAACTGTGAACACAGCATGATTTTTCGAGGGCAGTCTTTGTACATTCCACATTCTTTCTTTTTTTTTTTTAAAGATTTATTTATTTTATACAAGAACTGGGGTACAGGTCAGAAGCATGGGAGGGTGAGAGAATTCACCAGAGCCAGAGCGGGGAGCAGAACAGGCAGACTGACGAAGTACACTGCTGAGGGGAGAAGCGGGCAAGGCAGGAGAGATCTGCTGCACCATGTGGGGTTCGCCCTGGCCGGTGGGGAATCGAACTGGCGCTGCAGAGGCTGCAGACAGCTTCCCAGTGCAGCGCTCAACCGCTGCACCACCGGGGAGGCCCAGTACATTCCACATTCTTTATGCTTTAATTGGTCAAACAACAGCAACAAAAAATTAATTGGTTATTCATGCTCATTCCACGGGATAAAAGAAAAGCATATTTGGAGAAATAATTTTCTTTGTTATTAGTAACAACTGTGCATTGTATAGTTAGTTCTAAGAAAAACATTTAACATGTTAACCTTGTAATGTGCAGCTAGATTCTCCTTGAGGTATTACAGTGTTCTAGCTCAGTGCATTATTTTTTCCTATTTGGAATTTTCTATTCTGGTAGAATAGGAAGTGAACTTCTACTAGTCAAATTGGGAAATAATTGCATTAAAAAAATGTAAGTCCATTTTCTTTAAATGAAAACTTTTACTAAAAAATTATGGTAGATTGGCTACTTTTTTCACTTGATCAACAATTACATTTTTAAATATGGGGTTCTATATAACAAGCTAATAAGACTTCTGTGGTTTGTCTTAGGTCAGTATGATGGCAAAGGAAAGCCTCTGCCCGAATACCATGCACGAATTGCTGGCTTTGATGAGCGGGTAGGTTCCAATGTTTGCAACTTGGACTATTGTTGGGATGCTTAGGATGTGGCATTTTGCTCTGCAGATATGAAAATATGTATTTGTCTATACTTTAAAAAAAAACCCGAGGATTAACTTTCCTTGTTAGTTTCAAATATACAGTTTCCTATTTCTGCTATTTATTGAATTTCCTACTAAAATGCTTCCAGTGTGTCAACATCAATCATTGTTAAAGATATGATAGACTCAAAGAATGAACTGTATGTGTATCAGTTCTAAAATATATGTGGAATTACATTAATTCTACATTTTGCTCATTACTAAAGATAACCACATTTGTGAAGTTATTTGTAACCAGAAATATGAAATTAATGTGAACACAACAATGGGATGTGAACGAGAAGCACAAATATGGCACTGACTCTAAATTCTATATTTGTTTTCTCTGTCACCTGAATTATCTTCAAAGAGAGGTCTCTTTTGGAGGAATGCATGCCAGCCAAACTTACTTTTCCCTTTTTGATGATGACATCTTAGACTGTTCTCATAATTTCTCAGACTGCACCTAAAAATATTTTCTTAATTTCAAAAGGTAAAAGTAATGACTTCTATCAGAAAACCTAAGCGTATCGTCATCCGAGGCCACAATGAGAAAGAGTACCCTTTCCTGGTGAAGGGGGGTGAAGACCTGCGGCAGGACCAGCGCATAGAGCAGCTCTTCCAGGTCATGAATGTCATCCTGTCCCAAGATGCTGCCTGTGGCCAGAGAAATTTGCAGTTGAAGACATACCATGTCATACCCATGACCTCCAGGTACAACCAACATGTACTAAATTATTATGTAGAAAAGATTATGTGAATAGGAATTCCAGTAGTAGGCCAAATCCTTGTTTAATTTTACTAAGATGGGGTTGGAAGTCACTTGACAATTTTTTCCTGCTATCCAGAAGTAGAAAGTGAATATTTGATATAACTTGGTAGATTTTGGGCAGGGTTATACAGATTTTGGGTTGGGGGCTGGGTATAAAGGTCTGGGAACACTAACATTTTACCACATGAACTAATGGTAATAGCATTTCCAAACTCAAAAATTAGCCTACCTAGTCATAGCAGATAGTGATGTTCTTCTTTTAGATATCAGGCAATCCTATTTTAGATTTCACAAAGACTGAAAGAATAAAGATTTCACAAAGGCTGTACAGAATTAATAAATCGTGATTTTCTTTGTAATATAGAAAAAATGAAGATTAGACTGGAAGAAATCCATTTTACTTCGATTCTACAAAGTTTTTTTCTAGTGAAGAAAGATCAGTTTGGATTTGTGTTCATAAACTTTATTCTTTTCAGATTAGGATTAATTGAATGGATTGAAAATACCTTTACCTTGAAGGAACTTCTTTTAAATAACATGTCACAAGAGGAGAAAGCTGCTTACACAAGGTAGTACTTCATCTCCAGCTTTACCCCAGCCAACCTGCTACTGTCCAGATGTAACCTCCTCCCTGAATAGAGTTGTTTCACATTCAGTTTCCTCCATATCCTGTTTCCAGTGACATTTTAGGTCTTTATTTTTGGGGTACACTCAGCCACATCCTGGGCTGTTCTTTAATCTGCCTTTGATTGGATGAATAAACTAAATGGAGCAGAACATTCTAAATAGCAGTTGCATATGTTTTACCACAATTTTTTTTAAAGTATTAACTTTGAAAAAAGAAAATTCTTGCAAGGAAATAAATAACATGATTGGTAGCAATATTTAAATATTTTCTATATGCTAAGCACTAGTCTCAGTTCTTAATATATATGAAGTCAGTTATTTCCTACAACAACCTCCAAGGTGAGAACTGTTATTACCTCTGTACAGATGACGAAACTGAGGCCCAAAGAGGTTAGGTAACTTGTCCTAGGTCACCCAGCATGTGAGTGGTATAGCTAGGATTATTAGTGATTAATTCTAGGTCATGATATAGTTGCTTTTTATTTTTTTGACATTTTTATATTTTCCATTTTTTTAAACAACATTGTAAGTCATTTCATTTTTGTTTCTGTAAAGAAAAATAAGGGCACTATTAAAAGTATTTTGAAGGAAGAGTTAAGTTCTAGTGACTAGCTACAGGATGAAGGAAGATCTTCAAGGCCTATTTTGTTTCATTATACTCTCATTCTTTCCTGAAAGTATTTGCATAAAGTAATGTTCTTATCAGTCAGGAATTTTTCATAAAATTAAACATATTCTTTTCAAACTCTTATTCCTGGGTAACAGTTGTAAATAGGACATTGTTTACCAACCTTTAATTCCAGTCATTTGAATCCTGTCTAAAATTGTTTCTGCTTTCTCCAGAGGATGGGATATGAGGAACAGTTCTTCCTAGGGTCAGAAATTCCTGCTCTTGTTCTAGTGCTTACTCACTCAGAACTTGCACACAATGGGAATCTAAAAAAGTGCCTTTCCTTTCCTCCTATTCCCATATCTCTATTTTTTTTTAGATGAGTAGGATAGTAACATAACATGCAGAAGGTAAAATAAGTATCAAAAGTTTGAGCAGAATTGTATAAATTGTTTCCCCCACTACCTTTTTAAAACAATAGTACTTACAACCTTTATTACTAAAACCATTGCTGGTTTTTTCATAACTTACATGTTACAGTTTTTCAACAAAGATTTGCATTACAGTTGTAACTAGAAGAGAATTTAGAGTACATTATTATTATTTAGATTAGACTATGAAATTAACTTACTTAGTACTTACTCTGAAATGCCCTTAAGTGATAGAACTACTAAGTAACATATAATGAAATTGCCCAAGGAAAACTTGTTATTTTTGACACATTATGGAAGACAGCTTTTTTTTTTAAAGACATTTATTTATTTATTTATTTATTTATTTATTTATTTATTTATTTATTTATGCAAGAACTGGGGTACAGGCCAGAGGTGCAGGAGGGTGAGAGGATTCACCAGAGACAGACTGGGAGCAGAACAGTCAGACTGACTGAAATACACTGCCGAGGGGAGCAGTAGGCGAGACAGGAGAGGTCTGCCATGCCATGTGGGTATCTCCCTGGCTGGGCCTGGAATCAAACTCATGCTGCAGAGGCTTTGGATAGCTTCACAGTGCTGTGCATAACCCCTTGCACCACCCATGGAGGCCCTGAAGACAGCTTTTCAAATTCAATTCAAATCCATTGTCATTTAAGAAAATACTTCATTATACTTAATGTGCAGCTGCATGCTGGAAATTGTGAAGAAAGTGTGGCACTTCTTTAAATCATGAGAAGACAATTAATTAATCTAAAATTAGTAATTTCTGATCTTTTTGCTTGTATTAGTGTTATGCTTTAACATTTCTTGCCTACTTTAAGTAAGTTATCTTCTTGTTAGGGTTCTTTTATAGGATCAGACTTTTAGAACCATGTGCCAAGTTTCCTTCTATATGAAGTGAAACATTTAGTATTTGATTACTTTGTGCTTAAATTTTTGCATAGGAAATAGCTTTGATTTCTTTAGGAGTAACTAAGAATGAATATATATTGAAATCCTAGACCTAGTGTACCATGGGTTTAGTGCTAATATTAAATATGATTAGAAGTAGTATTTATTGTTTCCTGCCTCTTCAATGACTTCAATGAAGTCTCGGTGATATTTGCCTCTTAAATAATGCTGATACCCTTTACTTGTTAGTGACCCCAAAGCTCCACCATTTGAATACAGAGACTGGCTGAAAAAGATATCTGGAGGATGTGACGTTGGTGCTTACATGCTAATGTATAAGTAAGTTTGTTTTTTTTTTATTTCCTAACTCATTTTTTCTCAAGTTGCATAGCTATTTTTGTTTCTTAGAAAATTTTGCCTCAGTGACATCATCAGAATCTACTTATTTGATTTGAGTTTCAGTATAAATGAAGAATTTTACATTTCAAGTTATGAGAAGTTTGTTCTAATCTAATGCTTCCTATTATTAAATCTTAGGGGAGCTAGTCGAACTGAAGCAGTCACATCTTTTAGAAAAAGAGAAAGTAAAGTGCCACCTGATCTCTTAAAGTAAGTTTACTTCTGATTTTACAAACTGGCTGATGGTGTCACAGATCCCACCAAGACCCTGTCTCCCTCCTGCAGGCGGGCCTTCCTGGCGATGAGCACGGGCCCTGAGGCCTTCCTAGCTCTCCGCTCCCACTGTGCCAGCTCTCATGCTCTGATGTGCATCAGCCACTGGATTCTGGGCATCGGAGACAGACATCTGAACAATTTCATGGTGAACATGGAGACAGGGGGCATGATCGGGATCGACTTTGGACACGCCTTTGGATCAGCTACGCAGGTATGCTCAACTTGCTCTCAGAGCGCTCAGCTAGTTTAGAACTGTCATGGGACTATGTATCACTCTCTGGAAATGGATAGTTTTTAAGAAGAAAAGACACTCTGGTTAGGTCAGATTTGTCATGATCATTAAATTTGACATTCTTGTAGAAAGGTATAATCTCAACTTCTTTTTTGGTATTGTTTAAATAGGTTTTAGAAGGTACGATGATATATCAGAGCCAATAATAAAATATGTTCCTATGGAAAGGAAAGAATGTAAGCCCTATATCAAAATTTGTCTTCCACAAGGAAGACAAATACAAATCTTTTCTCTAACATCAAACTCTGAATGTTTTAAATTGTACTTCTAAGTCTCTGTGGGCTACGTGGTCTTATGCACATGGTTTTTGTTTAGTGAGGACGATTGTTTGAATTTCTTTTGGACACAGTGGATTCACATCTATGTAGCTGATGTTAAGACAAGAGAAGTTCACATTCTCAAATGTGTGTAATAATTGTGGGAGGATGTTTTGTTCATGCCTATTACTTTGTGACTTTTTGTTAATGTATTCTATTTTTCTTGCATGTATATTTTCCTCTTTAGTTTCTGCCAATCCCTGAATTGATGCCTTTCCGTTTGACTCGCCAGTTGATCAATCTAATGTTACCAATGAAGGAAACAGGTGTTATGTACAGTGTCATGGTTCACGCACTGCGAGCCTTTCGCTCACAGCCCCATCTGCTTATTAACACCATGGACGTGTTTGTAAAGGAACCTTCCTTCGACTGGAAAGTAGGGTTGTTTCTGTGAACTTTCCGCTTTTATTACAATGTACCAGTGATTTGGTTGGCATCTCTTACTATATCATGGACTGCATCATCATCATGTCTACTAAAATACTTCCATTGTTTTGTACAGCATTTCTTGAAATTAGCACTAGGGGTCATTTGTCCTAAAAACCAGATAAGAAATATATAATCTTTATTTGGAGAAAATTTGTTGTTTCAATTAAGTGTATATCTAAATAAGAGAAAGAATATGCCTCTATTGGTGATATGGGTCTAAATTTCTCTCTGAGACAACTTTTAGTTTAAAGTATGTTTCCTGTGAGGTCTTCCTTGATTATAAAGACCAATAGTGCTTTCTTTAATCTCAGGGTTCTTCAAAATGCAGCCCCAAAAGAATGAAGCCTAGTGATGGCATACATTGTCAATAGAGATATTTTAAGCCTAACTGCAGTCCTCAAGTTCATTGTCACTGTTAGGTATATTATCATTGGAATTTGCATCAAAAGTTATAGAGCTCTCACCATTTACAGATATTTATTTAAAATGAATACTTATTTAACATGTTTAATCTGTGATCATATATATTGTTATAACAAGAACAAATCGTGTTCTTTTCCTTTAGAATTTTGAACAGAAAATGCTAAAAAAAGGAGGATCGTGGATTCAAGAAATAAATGTAACTGAAAAAAATTGGTATCCCCGGCAGAAAATACATTATGCTAAGAAAAAGTTAGCAGGTGCCAATCCAGCAGTTATCACTTGGTAAGATTGTAACCAACTAAAACATCAACATGTTACTGTTATTGAAGAATTATTAAATGCTGCAAAAAGCCTATGATGTTAGCATGATTCTTATTTTACAAATGTAAAAAGTATGGCTTACAGAGGATGAATTCTCCAAGACTAGGCACGGTTTGCATCTCTGAAACCTGTGTACTTGACCTCTGTCTCTCTGCCCTCTTGCACAATCTTTAGGCTCTGGTCAGCAGGAACATTCGTAGACTGTTACAAAAATATTTTTACATGCACAGGAAGGTTTAGGTTTTTTATTTGCTTTTGTTCCTTTATGTAATCTTAATGGGTGCAACAGCAACAAGGTGTGGAGAATACAGAATGGGCTTGTTAGATGAGATTCCAAATTAGGTTAACCTTTAAGTTAGCTTTTAAATTTTTACTGTTAAGGTCTAAAACAAATAGAAATTTATAGAAATGATTAATAAGGAGTGGGGAGAAATTGAGCCTTAAATGATAGTAAATGGCACTCTGTTGTCAGTTGTTTTTGACAAAGATACTGAAACCATTAATTGGTCTTCCCTACAAAAGACACTAGCAAAAGAATGAAGGTGAATCCCTCTCTTATACCATATGAAATAATTAATAAATAAATAAAAGATCTAAATATAGGAGTTGAAAGTATAGCATACTTTTAATATGTTATAAACATATAACATGCTGTTTATGTGTCATGTAACTGATAAAGTTCTTGTATGTTAAATTCACAAAATACCCTATAACTCAATAATAATAAAATGACAACACAATTTTAAAAAATGAGCAAAATACTTGGACATTTCTCTAAAAAATATATACAAATTTCCAGTAAACACATGGAAAGATGCTTAACATCATTAGTCATCAGAGAAATGTAAATGGGGTGCCACCTTCACACCCTCCAAAATTGCTCTAATTAAAAAATGGAATATAATAAGTGTTGGTAGTGAGGCTGTGCTGATATTTGAGCCCTCATGTTGTTGCTGGAGGGAATATAAAATGGTGCAGCTAATTTGGAAGACAATCTGGTAGTTCTTCAAAAAGTTAAGCATAGAGTTACTATTAGGCCCAGCAATTCTACTCTTTGTACACATGAGAGACGTGAAAGCATGTGTCCACGCAAAAAAATGTAGACAAACATTAATAGCAGTGTTGTTTGTGTTCTGTTTTTCTTAACAAATCAAATATCTTTTTTTTTTTTTTTTACAAATCAAATATCTTGACTTAAAAGTTGTGAGTAACAGAAAATATTATATCAGTGATGAGAAAAAATGTTTGACTAGGCCGCAAAGGGAAAATAAAGCATGGTTTGTGTTTTTTTCATCTGTTTAATCTCTTTTCCAGTGATGAGTTGCTTTTGGGCCATGAGAAGGAATCTGCCTTTGGTCATTATGTGGCTGTAGCACGGGGAAGCAAAGAACACAATATTCGTGCCCAAGAGCCAGAGAGTGGACTTTCAGAAGAGGCTCAAGTGAAGTGCTTGATTGACCAGGCAACAGATCCCAACATCTTGGGCAGAACTTGGGAAGGGTGGGAGCCCTGGATGTGAAGTCCCTGGGAGCCATCAGATAAAAGGCGTGCAAGTATTTAAAGAATCTCCTAAATTTTCATCTACAGCAGTCAATGAGCTGTTTTTCCCGAAGCACTGAAGAGTAGAAATCTGATAGTCTGCTAGTATGAATTTAATCAAGATTGTGATAGATAAATGAATATTGCTATAAATGGTTAGGTTATATTCAAAGGATAGGTTTATGATAAATACCCAGGCTCATGTAAGTCTTAAATCAAGAATAGAGCATATTGCAGTTGCTATGACAGATAAACCAGCTATCTTAGTAAATGGTGTAAGCATGAATATTCTGCATTGTGTTCTTATTGGTAATCATGGTACATTGGAAATAACACTCAGAAAGATTTCAATTGATATTTTAAGGTGTTTTTATAGGTTATTACTATTTTCTAGTTTTGACATTTAATAACAAAATTGTTCTCTAAAAGAGAGAAAGTATTTTGGAGAGATGAATACCTTGGTCTTACCATTCTAGCTGCTCTGATCCACAGCAGGATAACAGTTCTTTACATCCCAGACTTGGGATAATTTCAGAAATTCCAAGAAGGATGATAGAGCTCTGAGCAATTTGATTCTGAGAAAATAAAAGAAATCTCTATTTGAAATAAATCCCTTATTTAAGAGAATTTTCAAAGCATGTGTTCTGTAACAGCAAGCTCAAGTTATGAAATACAAAAAAAGTTTCCTTCACATTCACAGTATCTCTGCACTTCTCTAATCTTCCACACCTCTATAACTGTTTTCAGGTTTGCTTTGAACTTTTTGTTACTGTCTTCTACAGACATTTATATTTTGAAATTCTTGTATGATTTTCAGAAATCATAATCTTAAGAATATGGAACATTAAAGTTTTTTTTCCCCAAAATGGTGTGTGACTCTTTCACAGTTTCACAAGCAAAATAGTCTAATAAAATATTTTCTTATATTACATGACAAATGTATTCCAATAAATATATTGACTGTATTATGACATTAAAAATCAACCAAACAAATTTAAAAATTTTTAATTTTATTTAAAAATAAGTGGTTGGGCCTCCCCGGTGGCGCAGCGGTTGAGCACTGGGTTGCGAGGCTGCCCGCAGCCTCTGCAGCGCCGGTTCGATCCCCAGCCGCTGGGCAAAGGTCCCACATGGCGCGCAGACCTCTCCTGCTGTCTGCTGCTCCCCTCAGCAGTGTACTTCATCGTTATGCCTGTTCTGCCCTCCCCTCTGGCTCTGGTGAATTCCCTTACCTTCCCGCACTTCTCACTGTACCCAGTGCTTGTATAAATAAATAAATAAATAAATAAATAAATAAATAAATAAATAAATAAATAAATAAATAAAATCTTTTTTTAAAATATTGAAAAGATCAGTTTCTATTTAAAAAATTAAAAAAAAAAAAATAAGTGGTCATGGGCCTCCCTGGTGGCACAAGGGGTTAGATGCAACCTATGAAGCTATCTGTAGCCACTGCAGCACAAATTTGATCCCCCGCCAGCGAGCTGTCCACATGTCGCAGCAGACCTCTCCTGACTTGCCCTCTGCTCTCCTCAGCAGTGTATTTCAGTCAGTCTGCCTGTTTTGCTCCCCACTCTGTCTCTGGTGAATCCTCTCACCCCTATGGCCTGTACTCCAGTTCTTGTATGCATAAATAAATAAATCTTTAAAAAAGAAGCAAAAATTACTATGGTCATGTATGCAAAAACCCAGTATATACATACCATAGTTAATGTTTTTTGCCACAGCTCCCAAACCTCTACTTTGGAGTTGAAGTTGATTATAGTACATTGTTGATTGTAAATTAACCATAATTTTCACTTGAGTACTTGTAATGTACCTGTGTTCATTCATTAGATCTTCAAATTACGGGAAATCCTGTGTTTTTTTTTAAGATTTATTTATTTGTTTATATAAGCACTGAGTACAGTCAGAAGCGTTGGGGGGTGAGAGAATCCGCTCTGAGAGAGCGGAGGGCAGAACAGGAAGACCGATGAAGTACACTGCTAGGGGAGCAGCGGGCGGCAGGAGAGGTCTGCGCGCCATGTGGGACCCTTGCCCAGTGGCCAGGGATCGAGCTGGCACTGCAGAGGCTGCGGGCAGCTTCGCAGCCTAGCGCTCAACCGCTGTGCCACCGGGGAGGCCCGGGAAATCCTGTTTTTTAATAACTTTTCATCTCAATAAAACTTTACTGTGTGAATGTGACTGTATGAGTTCAGTCTCAAAATAATCTACTTGAGCGTTCTGTCAGAATCTGTGAGAGTGCAGTGAAAATGAGTAGTTACTCTGCACAGCATTCATGAGAGGTTTGCACAGTCAGTCACGATGATGCGCGCTCATGACATTCCTAGGGTTTGCAGTTTTTATCTCACAGGTTTTGTATCACATCAATCCATTCTCTCCTTGCCCACAGTGTTTTCTTTCCGAGAAGTCCCTTGGTAGGTTATCTGCTTCCCTCTCACCAACTTCAATATTCTTTCTTTGGCACTCTTGGAGGTTTTGCTACTCTGTATTTAGTACAGGTATCATTTTCATTAGGTTCTCTGATGTTCTTTCAGCTTCATGGATTTGTCTGTTCCTTTTTCAGGTACAGGAAGTTCTCTTATTTCTTTAAAAAATTTTCTGTTTCTTTTCCTCTCTTCCCCTTCAGGGATACCACTTTTCTTATGTTACCTTTCTTCATGGAATTGCATAGTTTTGAAGTGTTTTGGTTTTTTTTTTCTTTTTTTTTTCTTTTTCTTCTCCCACTTACTTACTTGTATATTCGCATTCAGATGCACTAATTCACTCTTCCATTTGGTATATTCTATTTCCAAAGCTTCCATAGTGTTTTTCAACTCCTCTATTGATCTTTTTACATGCTGCAATTCCATTATTTTCTTATTTAGAATATAATTTTCTTTTCTTCTTTATACAAGCACTGGGTACAGTCAGAAGCGCGGGAGGGTGAGAGAATTCACCAGAGCCAGAGCGGGGAGCAGAGCAGGCAGACTGACGAAGTACACTGCTGCGGGGAGTAGCGGGCAGCAGGAGGGGTCTGCTTGCCATGTGGGACCCTCACCAGGCAACAGGGGATCGAACTGGCGCTTCAGAGGCTGCAGGCAGCTTCGCAACCCAGTGCTCAACCGCTGCGCCACCGGGGAGGCCCTAGAATATAATTTTCAATCATCTATTCATTGATTTTGTTTTTCAGGACATTTGTTTTTCTGAAATTTTTTGTACATTATCTGTGTCTTCCTTATGTTCTTCAAATTTATCATGTCAAATTTGAATTCAGTATCTAACAGGAAGAGCAGATAATGCACCTCTTCGTGATTGGGCTCTGTAGATAAGTTCTCTTTATGTGGCATAATGTTCCCCTGGGGACTCATGGACACTTGAGTTTTCTCTCTCCCCATTCCTTGCTTTCATGGCCACACTGCTGTGGGTGGGGCTTCTGCTGGGCATGGCTTCACTCCCTACATTGGATCAGGTCCTTACTGTTGGCTCAGGGGGTTGCTGATACCCAGGGCCCTTTGGTTCTTGGTTGGGGGTGGCACCATCTCCCATTCACTAGTCCTGTGTTTCAGGGTCCTTAGCAGTGGGACTAGGGGTTCCTAGTACCTGGAGGGGCTTTGGGGCCTTGGCTGGGAGCTTGCACTGCCCCTTTGCACTGGGTGTAGGATCCAGGGTTACTTACTGTCAGGACTGGGATGTCACTGGTTACTGACTGGAGGTTGGTAACGTTAGGTAGTTGGGAGCTTGTGTTGCCTCCCTTGCACTGGGCCTGGGTTTGGTGTCCTTGCAGTGGGACTGGCATCACTGGTGCCCTGCAGGGCTGTGGGGCCTTGGCTACTGTTCCCTTTTTAAAAAATCTGTTCTTTTTTTTTTAACAGCTATGTCAATATGCCTATCACCATGGTCACTTATTCTTCCACCTGGTTTGCCCTTCTATAGATACTCTCTATCGCTTTCTTCACCTTATTTATTGAGTTCTTTAGCTCTAAAATTTCTTCATAATTTCAACCTCCTTGGAGAATAATATTTTGTTCATATATTTTATTGAACTACTGCTCTGAATTTTTAAAAATAATTCTACATAACTGCTATTTTGAAGTAAGTTAGATCAAATATTCTATGCCTTTGAGCTTGGCTTATTGTAGGGTAAATGATTTTCAGGCTTTTCTGCCCTCTGGCCATTAGGATTGCCCTGCCTGATGGTGGCACCTGCATTTTGTTACATTGTTATATTTAGTTGTTTATTACTGTGTGCCATGGCTGCGGTATTTAATATTTGCCAAGAGAAGCAGAGGCAAGAGAGAAAGAGAGAGAGGCAAGAGAGAGAGAACACCAGAGAGCCCAGCAAAGAGTGAAGATTTGCCAGGGGCTGAGAGGCTGCATGTGGAGCTTGTCTCCACAGATTCCCCACCCATGTGCATGTGCAAAAACCCTGAGGATTGGGGTAATGGCAGGATAGGCACAGTGCAGGTTCTCCATGACCCAAGCAGACAGGGTAACGCGAAGAGAGTCCTGGAGCCCTCAGTGGCTTTTGCAGGCTTTTATTGAGATTTACCAGGCACACAGCAGGCAGGGGTACTGGGGGGCCGGGAGGCTGGCCGGCCTCCCAGCCCCCAGCAAATCTTCACTCTTTCTGGGCTCTCCAGCGTTCTCTGGTGGTTTCTGCTTTCGCTCTCATTCTCTCTGCTTCTGCTTGTGTCCCTGTGACGCCGCCCTTATAAAGCGCAGTGTTAGCCCAGGTGTGGGTACACTTACGCATGTCCACACCCTACTCCAGGTGCCCGCCATCAGGCATGCATTCAGGACCACAAGGATCCATCATCAATCCTAACGGTGGGAAGGCAGAAAAGCCTGATACTTTACTTACCCTATACTTACCCTACAGTTGGGCGATTACCCCCAAAGAGTGCAGTATTGCCAATCCAAGAGTGAGTGCATCCTGGGGGTGGATGCGGTGTGTGGCTTGTGGCTGAGACCACAGTCGGAGAAGAACAGGAAGCCTGATGGCTCCTGGTGTGTGACAGCAGATGCCTGTGTGGTTCCCCTCCCTCGTATGAGCAGTGCCTTTGGCAGCAGAAGTGGTGGATCATCTGCTGGTGCCAATAATCTTGTCTTTTGCCACTAAGTTGATGCCCTGTCTGGACTCATTTGTGTTTTGTTGTATTGTTTCATTGTTATTTTCTTTTGTGGGCCATGGCTGGAGTGTTTACATGTGCTAAGGGAAAATTGTATATAACTCATATGTATACTGCAGCAAAAAAACCGTGAGGGGGTAGATTATAGGGTAAATGATTTTCAGGCTTTTCTGCCCTCCCGCCATTAGGATTGCCCTACCTGATGGTGGCACCTGCATTTTGATACATTGTTATATTTAGTTATATTGTTTGTGTGCCGTGGGTGCGGTATTTAATATTTGCCAAGAGAAGCTGAGGCACAAAAGAGAGAGGCAAGAGAAGAGAGAGAGAATGCCAGAGAGCCCAGAAGAGTCCCCCCCCCCCCCCAGCGCCCCTGCCTGCCATGTACCTGATTGCTGCACTACATGTAAAAGCTCATTAAAAGCCTGAGAAAGCCACAGAGGGCTCCAGGACTCAGCTTTATCTGTCTGCTCCGATCATAGAGATCCAGCTCTGTCCCTCCCTGCCACTACAGTTATGGACATTTGTCATTTGCTTTTTGTGATGCCATATTTCCCTGATATTTTTATATTTATTTTGTTTATAAATTGGTGCTTTCACACTTGAAGTAGAAGATACCACTTTAATTCCGTACTCATTGCCTTAAGCAGACATAGTATTATCTGAGTTTTCCCTCTGTTTGTGAATGGGATCCTGCTCTTTTTTTTCTCTCTGTTGTGTTCAAATCTTTAGGCATTTCTGTCTTCTCTGGTTCTTACCATTCACTAGGTTGTCTGTCGGAGA